ATTTGGTGAACTCAGGCCACGTAGCTCCACCAGAATCGTCTTTCAAGATCATCTACAAAGTGAAGCCAAATGGTACAAAGGGCGTCAGGTTTCGGCTTTTGTGTATGGCGGAGGCTCTAGCAATTCATCAATACAACCCTGAATTCTGTATACAGAAAAAGTTTGTCCAGTCTCTTATTCTACCTTGGTCTTAACCTCTTCACTAATCGTTCCTTGTAAATAAAATATATTTTGATTTTTTCTCTTTTCATTTTTTTAGTTAGCTTTTACTTTAATAATTAATTCACTATTATCACTCTCATATGCTCTTTTTGTATATTTTCACACCCTCTTCACACTTGTTAAATTGACACTCAAATACCACTTTTATTCTCACTTAATAGCAATTTTAACCTTATCAAATTTCTATCTTTGTGCCGTTGAGTACCACGTAATTTACAACTTTTAATTTCTTTCACTTCTAAAGCCACTTCTGAGTAATTATATCAATTATGTCACCCCCTATTACTCAATAATAGACCACTATATATTTTTGTAAGTATAAATACGACTGTACAGCCTCTGAAGATGATTTCGTCGATAAAGAAAATTTTCTTCGCTGAATCTGTCTTTTATTTTCTTCATGAATCACTGGATTTAATTGTGTGAAACTATTGTTTGATTACATGTGAAGTAGGTCAGTTTCTTTCTTTAAATTAATGTAAAATATTTGTTCCAAGCGTTGGTTCACGGGGATTTGAATTGATTGGTTTCAGGATTTCATCACGGACTGACATCGGTGTGTGGACACATACTCGATAGCGATGAAATCCTTTAATAGTCGCGCTATATCATGAATAAGCAGAAGTTGGAATTCATGGAGTGGCCATTGGATCGAGTCGAAGTGGCTCAATGGTCTACGAGCTCGCTCGCTTGCCTTGTAACTGGGTGATCAGATTATGTCGGGGCTTGAAGTATCCACAACAAAGAACACAGTAAACACAGAAAACGTTGTGTTCTTTTAGATGTCCACACCACTCTGCTCTACATTTACAGAAATGTTTTCAGTACAGGTGAAAATATTTTCAGCAAGAAAATTTAATTTATACACTGACAATATATATTCAAAAGCGATGTTGAACGTCTGCATTTATCGTAATACGGAATCACGTCGGAATGATGAGAAAGTGAATTGTGGACACTTGTAAACTTGTCCATATCACGAAAAGCGGGACTAGTTGTCGCCTGATCCTGGAGAAAATGTAGGTTGAATAAAACGAAGTGGAATTGCATTGAACTTTGTCACCATATATATAGGCAAATACATAAACGGTAATTTACCTTTAAAATCTAATTGTATTCGACTCATTGAGAACAGTGGAAATATACACATATCAAGAGTTGTTGAATCCGCATAGAAAAGGAGAAGCAAGTATCATGTATGATTATGTATGTCTCTTGCTTAATGTTGGTGTTTTATTTGGAAAAGACAAAGAATGACGTTTGTCTAGCATAGATGCTCAGAGTGAAAATTAGAAAACTTGAATATACAATCAAAAGATATATAGATCTGACAAAAATGATAGTTACAGGATTTTCATCATGAGCTGACATTAGTTAGAGAACCATTGGAAAACCCACCACTGGGAGTACTGGATAGCTGTTTCGTCCTAGCTTTGGACTCGTCATCAGTTCGCACCCACCGAGGTTCGAACACAGGACCACGTTCCGGTTACAAGGCGAGCTCGTATACCATTAAGCCACTGGGACCCACTCAAATGACCGGTGCATGAATTCTGACTTCTGCCAATTCACGACATAGCGCGACTGGTACTAGTCAATGTCTTCGGCGAGTATTTGTCCTCAACGCCGAAATGCTGCACCCTACTGGTAACGACTTCTCACTAGAACCCACCCAGGTAACTACCTACCTGAATAGGGCAAGTCGCTAGTGAGCATCTCATCGATATTCAAGTGTTGGTTTGTAGGGATTTGATTGGTTACAGGATTTCATCATGAGCTCAGCTCACTGGCTAGTGGTTGCGCTATGTCGTGAATTGGCAGAAGTTAGAATTCATGCACCGGTCATTGGATCGGGTCCCAGTGGCTTTATGGTCTACGAGCTCGCTCGCTAGCCTTGTAACCAGAAGGTCCTGTGTTCGAACCGCATTTGCGTGGGTGCAAACTGATTGCGAGTCCCAAACTAGGACGGGGTAAACAGCTGTCCAGTACTCCCACATGTTCCAATGGTTCTCTAACCAATGTCAACTGATGATGAAATCCTCTAAACTACTAATTTACTGGGAGGCTGTAAAAGAAACGCTCATTCTTCTTATCATTAATCCAATTTTCAAGAGTTAGTTTGTAGGATCTTGATTTGTTTCAAGTTTTACCACAAGTCGATGTCATTTACTTCTTCCTTATATGTGACGTTATCAAAATTGAAATCAATCGAATTCCTGTAGACCAACACCTGAAAAATTAATAGACTGGTTGCTAGTGACAACTGGCTACAGGCCGAGGTTACCTAGACGGAATTCTGACGAGAAGTTGACAGTGAGAACAAACACCCACCGATGACATCGGTTGGTGTGGTCGCACTAAAATCACGAAATATTAGAAGTTAGAATTCATGCGCCGGTCAATGGATCAGGTCCAAGTGACTGAATGGTCTACGAGTCTGACTTGTAACCGGTAGGTCCTCGGTCTGCAACCCTGTAAGTGAGTACTGTGTTGAAGAGTCCCGAACCAGAACAAAACGGATGTGTATAACTCCCCAGTTTCCAGTTGTTCTTTAAATGATCTTGGCTCGCGATCAAACTTGCAACATTGATATACTGTTGTCATTATTCCACAATAGGAATTGCGGTAAAAAGAGCATTCCCTGCTGCTCAATTACGCTGTATCTTTAAAACCACTCCTCTTTTGCGTTCGTTCAAGAATAAAAGACAAACTGCCTAATTTCGCCTCTTCCATGTGTGCGTATATACCAATTTAACTGCTCCTGTGGAGCCAGTCAGTCGCATAGGCCGTACAATTAGGCGTGTTTCACGTCGAATTTCCGAACACCACCCACCCTGCACAGCGGATGGTTAAGCAAAGGACAAACAAAATGTATTCCCAGCGCTATTCTATCTCACTCATCTTGTGGAGACAGAACACAAGATTGACGTTAATCATGCTTTCAGGATCATTTACCGCATACCTACGAGTCTCAATTTCCTTTTAAGAGTTCGACTACTAAATATTGCTGAGGCTGTGGGGATCCATATTAATAAGCCTAATTTATGCACCCAAAAGAAGTTAGTTCAGTCATTATCATTACCCACTTGGCCATCCAGGTTTGAATAATCCAGAATTTTTGTGAAATTTCCCTAATTTTAGTTGATATTCTATTCGCTATTATATCTTTATTATTATTATTATTTTTATTATTTAAGCATCTTTAATGAACTGCAATAGAACTGACCATACTTTACAAATCGACATTATTTAAAAAAACGCTAATATTGATATTGACTACTAATCTAGAATATTCTATGTATATAAACATGCATATATAGATATAATTGTAGAGCCTGGAAGAGGAATTTATCGAAAAGAATATTCTTTGCTCGACTATTTTGTGTTTTCTAGATATCTGAATGAATATTTTTGCTATAATTAATTTTTGTTGATATATTATTTTCAAGAGTTCATTTGTAAGGATTTGATTCGCTTTTCAAGTTTGCTCACGAATTCATATCAGTTAGATAACCAGTAAAACCAGGGAGTACTTGACAGGCATTTCGTCCTAGTTTGGGACTCATCGGCAGTATGCACCCACTAGGTTTCGAACCCAGGAGCTTCCGGTTACAAGGCGAGCTAGCTGGCTCGTATACCATTCAACCACTGGTACTCGATTTATAACTAATATAAATACCACAAGGTTCTGCAGTTCTCAACGAATAACTTTAGACAATCACTTAGAATAAAAGAATGTGTCAGCCACAGTTTAACTTCATCCAAGACATTTAACTGAATTTTAGATTTTACCGTCGATTGATTGATTGGACCGAAGTGCTCGGTCTCAGGTTGACATGTCGGCAGATGCTTCGACGATGTCTGGGCATGTAATTAGAATTAAATTGGTGGATGGTGACTAGCTCACTGGGGAATGCAGGTACATTCAGATGACGAGTCCCAAATAGGACGAAACGCGCCTTATCCTGGATCGCACTGCTAGTCACCATCCACCAATTAAATTCATCCACGATCCACATACGTGATATCTAATTGGACCTCACTGGTCACGAATTCTCACTGGAACTGACTGACTCCAGGAAACTCTATCCTGTAGCAAGTCACTAGTGAGCATCACATTAATTTTCTATAGTTTGGTTTGTAAGGGTTAGTTATGTTTTCACGAGTTGATCACGGATTGATATCAGTTAGAGAACCATTGAAAACCAGGGAGTACTGGACAGCTGCTGTTTCATGAGCCATTGGATCGGGTCCCAGTGGCTGAATGGTATACGAGCCAGCTTGCCTTGTAACCGGAAGGTCCTGGGTTCGAATCCCAGTGGGTGCGTACTGCCGATGATTCGCAAACTAGAATGAAACAGCAGCTGTCAAGTATTCCCTGGTTTTCAATGGTTCTCTAACTGATATCAGTCCGTGATCAACTCGTAAAAACATAACAAACCCTTACAAACCAAACTACAGAAAATTAAGATTATTCATTGGAATTCCGTCAGTGCAATTACTGCGATGACAACTGTCTTAATCCGCACACTATGCCAACTAAGACTCAGTGTAACTAAGCCTTCTAAGAAGTTACAGAATAATTTGTACTGGCAAGCCATGGTATGTCCCTCTTCCGATCTATTTTATTATAGTCTATTTTACGGGTCAGTGTTAGAGTGAAAACAGACACATATGACCTTGAAATATTTTTCTACCCACACTCACACCTTATGCTTAAATACCATTGGTCCAATGAAATGTACAGCTTTATGATTGGTCAATATTATATATAGATGGATCGATATCAGTAAAGCGACAAAATTCAAGTTCAGACGATTTTAATTTAGATTATCAGAGCATACATACTGTGGCGTGGCTATGGTTTTGTCCAGATTGTCATCCTTAGCGTTATCAAAGCATTCAGGCCCTCTATTCCAACAGAAATTGAAATCTTCAACACATCAAGGTGGAGCAGTTAAATGGATGGTGGATAATTATCCTGTTACTTTCCTAGCATCACTTGTTGGAGGAGGCGTAGTTGTCATGCTAACGTACACAGCAGTTTGCCTGTTGAAGAATCCTGACCTTTACCTGCCTGTATATGACAGAATTCCACGTCACGAGCATTATTTCAATAAGCATTATTTTGGTGCAAGAACACCAGAAAAATTAGACTTTGTACCTCCAGTTAGAATGCACTATGATGGAGCTTTGGAATTACCGTATGAAGATGGAAAGAAAGTGTATCCTGAGAGTCAGTAAAATGCACTGGGAATTTGTAATAAATTTTGTGGACTTCGAGGTTAGTCGTGAACATTGTTCACCTATCAGGAAATTAGTATGTATTGTATCATAGATTATAAAGTATATTGTTCTTATGTCTGTTGTTCTAATTTTGACATTTGTTAGAATAAAATCTATTCTATTTTATGTGCGATGTCTTAGTTGCCGCTCTTGCTACCATGCTGATATAAACTTAAGTGAAAAATTTATAGATTGGAGTTGTTCTGTCACTAGACTATGTGGTTCAGCATTTTCGAACGGCTAAGTCTAAGTAGCATAGCTACAGTAAAGGTCTGTTGAAAGTTAACCTTCAAACCCAGTCAGATTTAGGGAACTATGATTAATCATTCCAAATCAATTCCTGCCTCCCTTTTGGGATTCGGCGAGGGTAGATACAATGTTCTACTTATTCCCTAGGTACTCTCGTCGTGAAAATCTATACTGTAAGGTAGGGCTATAAATTTTTAAGACTAAGGTCAGGGTACAGGATTATTGGTTAGGATTGCAGCCAGTTGTGTCAACAATATCAGGGGGTCTCAAAGTACTATGATCTACAGTTACCTGGATGAGTAGATCTGTCGCGCATGGTATGATTACTCCATAGATTGTCCGTGTAGTGACTGGGAGGCATTTTTACAACACAGGAGACAATTATCTTGTGTAATATCATGTTTCAACGGTTTTCAATGCATTTTTCAACGACTATGCAACTTTTTCCATTTGAATCGTGATTAATTGTTCAGGATCACTTTGATTTTGGCTGTAATAGCTGAATTATGCCTTTCGAACTGAATACTCTTTTAAGGATAACGCGCTTCCTTTTGAGTAGATTCAGATTCAGTTGATAAGGATAGAAGGCTCTTGTGGCCTGTGTTAATCCTTGCAAAATATATCTAACTTCCCTTTGAAAGCGTTCACCGATGGAGCTGTTACTACTGAATTAGGTAAGGAGTTCCAGTCGTTGACCACTCTGTGAGAGAATCTAAACTCCAAACGTATTTTAATCGTCCTCGGTTTTAGCACCTTTTTGCGGTGACCCCGTAAATGTATCCTAGAGGGAGAGAAAAGGTTTGAAAGGTCAATCCCTGAATCACCCTTGAATATACGGCAAGCCAAAATTAAGTCGCCTCTCCCCCTTCGGTATCATAATGGGAAGAGATTTAAATGCTCCATCCTCTTATCATAAGGAAGGTGTGAGATACCACTACCTAATTTCGTTCCTACCCTCTGTACTCTTTCCAGGGTGTGTGCCTCCTTTTTGAAGCATGGACTCGTCGCTTGTATGCAGTACTCTAGATGAGGCCTGACATTTGTTGCATAGAGTACTTGGAACATACCCTCGTCTAATCGTTTGAAAGCTCTTCGAAGTGCCCATAGCATTCGAAAAGCCTTAGCTGCGGCTCGATTACAGTTTACCGTTGTTTTTAAGTCATGGCTAACAATAATTCCTAAGTCCTTTTGTTCCCTAACATCTGGCAGTTCTGTGTCCCCCATGGTGTACGACGTGTAAGACTTCTGACCTAGGTGTATTACCGCGCTTTTCTTGGAATTAATTTCCAGACTCCAAAGGTTAGCCCATTCGGCTAATTTGTCTAGATCGTTTTGTAGTACCAACCTATCATCGCTACTATTTACGGTTTTCCATATCTTAATATCGTCCGCAAATAATAAGGAAGATAAGGTAAGAATTTTCGGCACTTCATTTACGTATGATAGGAATAGCAGGGGGCCGATTACACTTCCCTGAGGTACTCCACTTAGTACTGCTCTCCACCCTGACAGTACACCATTAACCCTTACCTTCTGCCTCCTATCCATCAGGTAGTCACTAAACCACTCACATAAGCGTTGGTCTAATCCAAACCATTTAAGTTTACTAAGAAGACCTAAATGGGATACCTTATCGAATGCTTTACTAAGATCGATAAATACAACGTCCAGTAGATGGTTTTTATCCCTAGCTAACAGTAAGTTTGTCAAGCAGGATCGTCCTGGTCGAAATCCATGCTGTTCCACTGCCAGTAAGCCATGTTTTTCCGTATGAGCTAAGACCTGGTCCCTTATGGTCTACAATTACCTGGATGAGTAGATCTGTCGCGCATGGTATGATTACTCCATAGATTGTCCGTGTAGTGACTGGGAGGCATTTTTACAACACAGGAGACAATTATCTTGTGTAATATCATGTTTCAACGGTTTTCAATGCATTTTTCAACGACTATGCAACTTTTTCCATTTGAATCGTGATTAATTGTTCAGGATCACTTTGATTTTGGCTGTAATAGCTGAATTATGCCTTTCGAACTGAATACTCTTTTAAGGATAATGCTCTTCCTTATGAGTAATACGATAGACTAAAACATACTAACTCAAGCGAATGACTAACTGAATCCTATTGAAGGGCGTAAATATCGATGTCATGAACGAATTGCGTTGCCAATTTCATTCTCACCCTGTGTTTCAATACCGTTTTGATTGCAGCAGTTTCTAGGTGCATTTGAAAGTCAGGATTCCATTAATAAAATAAATCATAAAATGACATTAGGAACAGTTTTCCGGGTGAATACGTCATTTAAACGAACATGTGAAACTTTCGTGATGATGAACATTTACGGAACACATATGAGGCCGTAATCCTGCGTAATTATTTTTTTTATCAATTAATTTGTCAGTAACAATCTGATTTGTTTTTCATGTTTTATTTGTTGGTCGTCGAGATAATTAAACTTCACTTAACTGGCTGGCTGGATTCAACATAGAACTTGTCACCGAAGTGCAGCAGTTCCAGTTGCCACGTTCCAAATACCACACAAAGGTAGACAAGAAGATGGATGAGTGAAGAGAATCAGTCAATATAGTTTTGACAAGTATAAGAGTGAAACAGAATGAGTAATGGTAGAAAGGAATATGAAAGATTACACAAGAGACTGAATACATCTGCGTAAGCCATTGACAACGATTTTGAGCCATGTATGTCACCTATTGTCTCCAGCCACTGATTCTTAGAGTCCCGAGGGCGGGCCCCAACCCGGAAGTCTGCATCTCCCTCCCTACCTGACTCAGTTTAACTGTCAGAAACTTCATGGATTGATTGATGCCATGTTTTTGTTTGGCATGGCACCACTTACTCTTTTCCAACCTGCACCTATGTCAATCAGCTAGTAATGGCTGTCGGGAGGGGGAGGCAATGGTTAGGCATGCACAGCACGTCACCTAGCCATCTCAATCTATGTAACTTTATAGCCTCGTTGATTGATTTTCCCTCTTTGCCCAACACTCTACGCATAACCTATCGTCAACATTACTTGCCTTATTATGCCACCTAACGTGAGAAAGAGATTGTAGACATCTATGATCAAAAACAGTCAACCTTCTCATGCCTTCAACTCGTATTGGCCATGTTTCAGAGCCAGCCATAGAGGACGGAGAGAACTGCTGAGCAGTATACACGTCCCTTGGTTGGTTGATAGCCGGATGTCACGCCTACGCCAGAGACGGTGTGGTGTAAGTTAGCGAAAGCAGCCCGAGCTTTTTGGATCGGATCCATTCTGAGATTTCGTCACCAATCAGTCCGTTGGTACTGATACAACTTCCCAAATAGGTGAAGTGGTCAACATGTTCTGTCACTTCACTCCTCATCACTACTAAGCTAGGAGTTGACGTAGTCCAGTCATTCCTGTAGCAGCATCTTACATTTTACAGGGGCGAATCGCATGCCAAACATACGAAGATTGCTGCTCAGGGTGTTCAGAAGACTCTGCATTTTGTCAGCATCCTCCCCTAACAGGACTATGTCATCTGCATATTCTTGGTCCATAAGGCAATACCCTGGTAACAAGTCCATTCCTAAGTCGTTAAGTTCAGTTAAGGATACTTCCATTAGCATATCTATGATGAAGTTAAACAGAAAAGGGGAAACTGGACATCCTTGACGGACATCACTGGTTGTTATCAATTCAGATGACAATTCCCCATAAGCCCTTACACAGCTACGTGAGTTTGAGTAGAGTGCCTTGATTAACTCCACTTAACAGTGAAATAATAATGGGTCTTTTTTTGAGCAGTTAGTTGAGTTAATCTCTCGGTGTCCATCGTTAAATAACTTGTTTTCTTACATGAATCTACATATGTTGTTAGCGCTTAGTAAAGTAGAAAAACGTATTTAAAATTTGCACTGGAATTTATTGTCAGAGAAATGTTGAGTAATAGCTGCAAAAGTGTGCTTTGTCTTATCTTGTACCTTTACGTGCATAATGTAGTTCATGGATGTCACCAGAATCCAAGTGATTACCAATAACTCCATCCATGTATCTTTCATCGGTTGTTTTACTAGACTACCAAATACACCAGTAATTTGTGTCTATAATAAATAATGTTTTTTCATGCTGATTGTTGTGAATGTTTTGTAAGTTTTTTTCAGCTATTTAGAGTTTCGTGCTGTGTGTTCATATTCTATTTTATACTGTGGTGAAGACGTACGACTTGGAGTGCGGTTTTCCTCAACCAAGGGACGTGTGTACTGCTCAGCAGTTCTCTCCGTCCTCTATGGCTGGCTCTGAAACATGGCCAATACGAGTTGAAGGCATGAGAAGGTTGACTGTTTTTGATCATAGATGTCTACAATCTCTTTCTCACGTTAGGTGGCATAATAAGGCAAGTAATGTTGACGATAGGTTATGCGTAGAGTGTTGGGCAAAGAGGGAAAATCAATCAACGAGGCTATAAAGTTACATAGATTGAGATGGCTAGGTGACGTGCTGCGCATGCCTAACCATCGCCTCCCCCTCCCGACGGGCATTACTAGCTGATCTACATATATGCAGGTTGGAAAAGAGTAAGTGGTGCCATGCCAAACAAAAACATGGCATCAATCAATCCATGAAATCCTTGACAGTTAAACTGAGTCAGGTAGGTAGGGAGATGCAGACTTCCGGGTTGGGACCCGCCCTCGGGACTCTAAGAATCAATGGCTAGAGACAGACAATAGGTGACATGGCTCAAAATCGTTGTCAATGGCTTACGCAGATGTATTCAGTCTCTTGTGTAATCTTTCATATTCCTTTCTACCATTACTCATTCTGTTTCACTCTTATACTTGTCAAAACTATATTGATTGATTCCCTTCACTCATCCATCT